GGCATGCATTCACCTCCATGCAAAAGAAGGGCCATGCAAGAGAAAATCCCCCTTTTAATCTAGTTAGAATAATTCAAAAATTGTTTTCCCATGAAGACAAAACCTGAAACAAGAGGTCATAAAGCAGCTCAGACTTCTAGAAGTTGTAATAATCTTCCCTTTCCTGAACTGATAATCACCTGTGCTCAAGAGGCTGGGCGGGTTTCGGGTGGTCACCTGTTGCCTGCCTATTACTGTTAAGAACAAGGAACACCGTTCCCAGGCAGCATGCACAAGAAAACAGAAAGGAAAAAAAATAAAAATGTACCTCATAATAATAAAGTTCAAATTTTTTTTTTATTTGCAAGGACTAACATTTAAAAGAAAGAAGAAATGAGTATCAAGAGATAAGGAACCATTAATGAGCCCTCTGCCTTGGTTTCAATTGCACTGTGAAATTAATTTAATGCGCTCTAAGGATACAAGAGGTAATCGCTCTCTTTTGGTAAGAGGTTGCAATTTTCTCTAACAAAGTGTCAATATAAATATGTTACTTTAAGACAGGGAGAACAAGTCAGTTAATTCAGAAAGAATTTGACATATTAAAGTAAATGCCATCCAGGAAGCCAAATGGCAAAACTAAGAAATAAATTACTCGAAATGAAAATTGTACGGCAGAGAGCTGGTAAACTGGGGTTTAATTGAAAACTTATTTTAAAGCATATTTTATGCTAATGATAGGTATCCAAGTGACTGATACTATGAAAGACATCACTAATTTAAAAAGAGTAGCTGTCCATCTGAGGAGATATGTTTATGGCTGGAAGTAGTAAGCAAGCGGAAACCAGCAACTCTGAAAATAAATACATACATAGATACAAGAGGTTAATAACGCTTGTGGATTTAAGACATGCTGATAAGATGTGAAATGGCTACACAGACCAGACAAATGCAGAGAGCTTTCTGATGGGTTGTCAAATGTTACCACAGCAAAAGCTGACAAGTCTCTGCCCTGAGCCTTTTCCTTGGCATCAGTCAACTCTTACAGTGAGATGCTGGAGGGAAGGAAATGTGCTCCACAGATGTGCTTGCCCTGCTGGGTACCCACCAACTGCGCTTTGGAGGATGTGCTATGCTGTCATGACCTAGCGCTCTGGAACGCTGAAAACGACCCTGACATCTAAGCGAGCGCACAAAGATTTGCGAGACTTTTCCTGGGACCACGAGGATGGAGTTCCTCCAAACAGGCGCAGCAGGCAGGGAAAACGCGCTGCAGAACGCACCCCACGAAGGGTGGCAAGCAGCCCTGGATGGAGCCGAGCTGAAACGGAAAGGGCTCAACCCGACCAGTCAAGGTCAGGCTAAAACTGAGATCTCAGTGACACAAAGGGGGAGGAGGGAAAACTGGGAAGCATCCAATATTCTCTTTAATGGTCTAGAATATTTTTTGAAGAGTTGTCTACATCAATTTTATTGTTTTTGAGGCAATGGGGCATACAAAGCGCACTGCCTCGCAGCCTGCCGAAGCAGTGAGGATGGAAGAGCTTCACAAACCTCACAAGTAATTAAAGTTACGTGGCTTCTGAACTGGTGCCTTGCAGCAACACCCAAGATGTGTTATAATCCCCCAGTAACACATTGCCTGACACATTTTATAGCTTAATTACTCCCACATTCATGTTTACTGCCCTTGTTAATCCAGCACTTCAAGAGAATACTTGCCTTGCTTAAACATAACTTGATTCTAATCTCTGTTTTACTGGTGTAAATCAGAACTCGTTTCACTAATGTTAATGGAGTTATGGGTGTGCCAAGCGTCTAATGAAAAAATCAGGCCAATAGCCAGAAACGAACCTTTACTCTGGCACCAGTAGCACACTTCTATTCTCTTGTGTCAGTTTGCAAAACAAAATATGCTCGTTTTCTGGTACCAACTGAAAATGGAGCTTTAGGACTGTCAATGCTGAGGCTAGGCTAGACTCCCAAGAAGTTTATTCTTTCTGTCTCTTGCCGATGCTACAAGCAAAGACACCACAGTCACCTTTGCCAGCAGCTCTGATGAATTTGTTCGAGGCAGATTACAGATTCACTCATTCTGTCCTCAGAAAGACAATGTTGCAAATGAAGGTAACTACAGGGCAATGCCATTAAAGAAGATCAATATAATGAGTGCATAGAACAGGGCACAGATACAGTTGGTTGGCTAGAACACCCCAACCATCCTTCTTTGATCAGACACAATGTAATTACAGTTTCCCGAGTGCCTCTGTCTATTGCTACTCAGTAGAGATAAGGCAGATACGAACCCCCTTGTCAGGGGCTTGGATGTAGGGTGGCTCCGTCCTCCTACTCACAGGCAATCAATGCAAGGAGAGAGTTCAGCCTTATGACATATAGGATTCTTAAACTAAGAAAAAGCTCCAAAGCACAGAACCAACTTATTTAGCTATTGCTCAGCTGCCCTTACTTCACAAGACTCCTCGCAAGCGCCAGTAACGGAAGATAACGTTACGCTATTAAGACTACAGATTCACTTGTGATGCTACCTTACTTGTGTGCTGCAGCCAATACGGTACCTTTGAAGAGCCAAAACTGGCATAAAATTAGTCACAGATGTGCATATTCCAGTATCCTTGCTAATGGTCAGGCATTGAAAAATGCTAAACTGCAAATCGCAGGGCAAGGAAAAGAAAGGAAAAAAAAAAAAAAGCATCACCTACAGAAAATAATGCATTTCACAGGAATTTCCAGACTCCATGCATTAAAAAAACAAGACTTCTGCCTACAAATTAAAAGTTACATCCACTGAGACAGTAAGAGTAAATACTAGTACTACCATAATCTCTTGCCCTTTTCCATTTATGTTAACCGAGAAAAAAGCTAGAGTAAGATTATCAAAAAGCAGTGGCTCTAGGCATCTTTATGTTCCACCAATCTCTTTCGTTCCTCTTATTAGATTAAAATTACTAAGAGATCACCTTTTTAAAAGAGCCAACATTCAGAAATGACAGAATGAGGGTAGCTTGTTGACTTTTCTTTGTGACCGAGCAGGTAAATGACAATTAAATTAGCGAGCAGAGGCCAACTAAGGATTAAACACTTATGTGCATCTTTTCTGAATTACCCAAATCACACTGTGCAAATCAAAAGATCATATAAGAACAGGATTTTTCAGGCTACAAGTGTTTCTTTTTTTTCGTTCTTCTTTTTTTTTTTTAATCTGAACAATAGTCATAGAACAAATATCTTTTCTGTTAGCATGACGGCATTCTTCCACCGACTCCGAAAACAGGAACCACTGAAATGGAAGAAACTATAGATTTCCAAAAATGTATGAATCCAGTTTCTCTGATCTCATGAAAAGACCTCCAGTCACAACCTGGGAAACCCTTGGGAGGCTCATTTCACCCAGACTTGTTCTATCCAACCCTACTCTTTCTCTTTCTACCACCAGAAAGCCAAAATAAGGTATCTAAAATGGTCATGTCACTCACAGGTTGGAAAAATTGAAGGGGAAGGAGAGGAGATTGAGACAAACAGAATGTTTGTAACCTGGAGAGATGGATTAAATGAAGATTTTATGAGGATTTTTTAAGGAGGAAAGCAACAGGAGGATATGAGGACCACCAGAGCCACAGACAGAAAGGAAAGAGGGCAGAAACGGCTCGTCCTCCTTGGCTTTCAGTGGTGACACAATTGCTTACAGCACCAGCAGTTCCTAGTATCAGGTCTGAGCAGCAATTAGAACGACACAGGCTGTGAGTCCATGCAACGCCATCCCAACGCATGGCACTGTGTAACACATCTGGGGATACCTCATGGCAGGGGAAAAGACCTCTTCTGCTACTGGACAACAGCTGGTTGGGGCTTCTTTGATGCCTCACAACTCCTCTACAAGCGCAGAAGCGATCAGGAGAAAATATCAGGAAGCAATTAGCTTCTGTTACTGTTACAAGAGAGAAAGGAGTGAAAGAATAGAAAAGAAGGGGACAGTGCCTCTTAAAGAAAGAGGGTCATGGGTTCCTGCCAACTTTTTTCAGCTCTGGGAAGACTCCACAGGCAGTAATGGAGATATCCCACATTACAATAAAGCAGCAAAAACACAAGATGCAGCCCTGAGTTTTGAAAAAGAAAAGCTACCTGTAACATAGCCTACGGCAATTACCTATCATTTTCTTACAGCTCATTTTGAGACTAGATATGTGTCGAGGAAGTCTTTCTGCAGCTAGTCCTCTGTTTGTGTCACAAGTAAATTGCTTTACTGACACCTTTGCTGGCAAAGCAGTCCCTGGGGTGATGCTGAAGTCCTTCGGAGAGTTGCTAAAAGCAACTCTAAAATCCAAAAAGTAACCTAGACGTTGTTATCCCTGGTCCCTCAAGAGCTACACTTTGTGAAGCCGACTCAGGGATCACAGCACTGCATCTTAACAACATACTGCCAAATCATTTATATCAGGTTTGCTCAGCGATAATGCTTGGTCTGTCCTGAACTTCCTCCAATGAAAATGAGAAATTTTGTTTTTCTTATTTATCTTATAATTCAACTAGTCTGTTGAATTATACCACAAAAATGGTGTGACAGAAAAATTGTGCCCTGCTACGTTCAAAGTTAGGATTTTTCAAAATCTATTGAAAGTCAGGCTTATGAGAGATCTCTTACTTATCCACTTCATACAGTGGCAGAGAGAATGAAGTTAACTGGAAGCTTTTTCAGTCACATTTCTGCCAACAGCAAGGACAGGCATCAGGACAGGAAAGCTGAAGACAGAATAAGGGAAAGGAGGAACCACAGAGAGAAGGATACCCTGTCTTAACAACTAACAGAGTCCACATAAACAGCAAAGGAGTTCTGGAAATTGCTGTTCTGCCTTTGCAATCTTCTGCTCATTTTTAAAAATATATACATAATAATAATAAAAAAAAGGCTCGTCCTTTGAATAGTAGCTGTAATTAAGTTGTGTCACCACTGCAGCTTTTACACTACTGGCCTCGTGCTTTACAGGAAAAGGAGACCCACATACCTTTGGTTGCCAGCCGGACACAGTTGATTTTTGTTTCCTGAAAAATATGAAAGGATAGGAAAACATCAAGGCATGTAATTTGCCCATCTGCAATAAAGATACTTTCCTTAAAAACAAGCACTAAAACAAATTAGCATTTTTCTTATGCTTCATTTCTGAAAATACCACCAACACTTTCAGTGCCATAAAACACTCCATACTAATGGACCTGCACACAGCTGCTTCGCTAACTGCTGGGAAGTTAGAGTGACACTATTTTTTTCCACACTAGATGTGTGAGTGATGGATCCCACATAACGGGCTGATTAACTAAAAGAAACTACCGGTTAAATGACCTGATCCGTAATATGCAGAGAAGCCTTGGGTCAAAAGTACATGCAATTGTACATCTAATTTTCGTGCACCATTACTACAGATTTGGCAAACTGGGTATTTATTTAAACACACGGCACAGAGACACCTAAGTAGTCATTTGAATACTTCAGCTACATGAAATGTATGTGAAGCAAAGCAGCATGTCGTATGGCTAGCCCTGCCAAACACGCTATTCAAATGCAACCCAAACCACTGCAGCTTTTTCATCACCGAACTGGGAAAAAACCCAACACCTTTGTTCAATCCACCTCAGAGTCTGCAGATCTGCATAAACAGTAATTTGGATGGCAACAACAATGTTGTATTTGGCTTAACTAAAAAACCTCAAATTCAGCAGTCTTCTCGGGCCATCTCCATTGAAAACACATCCTTTCTGGGATCCCAAAGTCCTCATTCTGCAGTCGTTATTGGCATGGATTACTTCCGCGCACTACATGATTGCCATCCAAATCCTAATGTGTTGCTTCAGTTAGAAAAGTGACTTTGTCAGTCAGTAATCTGCTGCAGGGGTTTCTTAGCACTTTATGTCTTTACACACTCTTGTACATGTCTCAGGTGTAATGAATACTGCATAAATTACTGTATGTAACAATGCTACATTAATATGGATGCAGCATGTGCTCTGGAAACAACAGCCTGGCAGATGCACTGCTGAACAGCTCATTCCACCCTCCAGTAATAATACAAACACGTAAAAAGGCTGAATTTGCTCTTGGAGAAAATCTGTTCCACCTGGGGCAGACTGTCCTTGGCCCCAGCAGAAATGCATGGCTGCATCGCGCCTTCTTCCTCGCACACAGTTGCATGCAGGAAAGGGCAATGGCAGGATCCATGCAATCCGTGTTTTGGGATGTACAACAGCGAACCCCTACGATGCCTCTCCACACGCCCTTCAAAGTACAAATCAGCTGTGCTATCTGGTAAAAGCAACTCCATACGTATTCTGGAAAGAAAAGAGTATTCAGAAGGACAATCTCTCCCGCCTTGCTTTGAAACTCGCTTAAGGAGCTCCTGGCTCACTGGACACATCATGTCCATCACAGAGAGCCCTTCCCAAGCACACCGTCCTCAGCGTGCGACCAAAGTACTGTTTACCCCAGTAAAACAGAGCCATATCTCATTGTGCACTGACCCCTCTCTCCCCGCAAAAATGACCCTTCCACACAACTTCTACAACTGTCAGCACCGTCAAGGCAATAAAGCTGAGCTGATAGAGCTCTGCTTTTCCTTCTGCCTCACGCAAAATCAGCTCCAATTGCCAGCTAGTCTGGAAATCCAAAATCCTATTACCAGTGATGATATATGAGGCAGGAAGAACATGGCTTTATTTTCAGAGCCCAGCCTCAGCATATAACGATGGAAATACTCTTAAAAATAATAAGCAATCCTGACATAGTTTATAAATTAAGCAAAGGTGACCTGGAAAATCAGTGATGAAAAATAAACTTTGAACATCAAGATAGCATTTTTGCAGTCCAAAAGTAGCTGGGCACTTTCGGAAAAAAAAATCATGGATTTTTTTTTTTTTAGCTATTGCTTCGTACTAGCTCAAAAGTGCAACAGAAAGCTAGAGAAACTAGTCAATGTTGAGAAAAGAAAAGGTGAGAAAACAAAAAATGAAATCTTGTTAATGAAGCTGTAACTGATCTCATTTGAGCATGTACAAATTCCTGCACATTACCCTCCCACAGGGTAATTTGAGAAGACAGGATACAGTGTGCTCTGTTTGCATTTACATCACTAATTGCTGTATTTAGCACAGACAATTGTCCTTAGTAGAAGACAGTGATCTGGTACTGCCAAAAGGAAGAGCAGTCAATCACTGGAGGATCAAGTCATCTGGACTTCAGAACTTCAGTTCAGATTGCATCTTCTTAAAAGAAAAACTTGAAAGCAACTTGATGTTGCAACACCAGATGTATAGCTACTAGGGATGCTACAGCCTAAAGGACAGAGCTCAGACCATATTCCTCATTAGTGCTGATTATTCCTTTGATTTCCACGGATCATCTCATTGATCAACCCAGTGCTTATCTCTTTGATGTCTCATAAAAAACGGGGTTTCCTCATATTTACTACATTTTTGTTTTGACTGATATTGAAAATTTTGAGTTTGCCTGAACTTTTCTGCCAATACACAGAATAAATAAATATAGATTTTTTTCCTCAAAACAGTAAAACAATTTTCTCATAACCACACTTGTTTTCTGAAAAATATTAGTCTTGATTCAGGTAGAGTGTTTACTTGTTCACAGTAAAATAGGATGCTTCTGTTTAGGCAGTAGTAAAACAGGAATAATTAATACAGTTAATTCTCAATTATCCATTCAGGTGGCTTAAGGCAATTACAAGAAAAATCAGGAAATAAAGGGATTAAAAAAAAGTTTTAGAAAAACAAAAATACTATCCCCAGATTTCAGTCTCCTGCTTGTCCCTGTATGTTCTTTCAAGTGGTCTAACTGCCACTTTAAGAGGCCACAGAAGACTTAAGAGGCCTTATATCCACAACAATCTTAATGATGACCCAAGATCTTACATACTTAGGATAAGATATCAGTTTTGTATTATGGCTAAAGTCACAGGAATTACTCACATTAAGATCCCTGTACCACTGCTACTTTCGTGGTGCAGCACTACCAGGTTATGGTACCGTAGGCATTTTATATTCAGGTATCAGTAGAATGATGTAGGTATATTTTAACAAAAACCCCCAGGAGCAGGAAAACATTGAGGTTTCCATCTGCATGACACATGCTACAGCTCTTGATCCAACCTTCCCCTTCCACATGCACATGGTTCTGGGAGGTTAGTTTCTGGACCTGGCTCCCCTATGCTTACACCACAGTTACGGCGTACCCTGATAGGCTTCTCCTGGAGGGCAGACCTCTGAATTTTCTATAATTTTGACTCTGACGTTTTAGCATTCTCTGAATATGGTTTGCTTCTTTCCAAAGACAGGGAGCTGATCCTGTCTACTATTGATTTAGGTTCCCAAAAGCACATTTCAGTGAAGCGCACTGGATGATGACAAGTTCTGCCTCCATCTCTGTAGCGTTTGGACGGAAATAATTTTCTGCAGAAAGGGGTTATGAGGGCAGCAGGACATATGTTTATGCGACAGCTGCATCTTCACAACCTAAAAGGGCGAATGCTTTTTTTTTAAATGACAGCTTGCTGCTTACAGACTATGAACAATAAAAGAAGCAGGCTCTTTCATCCATCTGTTTTCACATCCACAATTTTTCCTTCCTTTACCATCATTATGCTTTTGCATTAAGTTAAGCAGAGCATTCGCTGTCACGAGAGTATGGCAGCGTCAGTGCGAGAACCGCTGCCCCTGCACTAATTGCTTAAGGCTGTCCCGCAACGGGCAGTTTCACCAAGGAGCTCAAAGCAAGAGCAGCCAATTTTCACGTTGGCTGGTGCACGGATGATACGGACAAGTAATTACCAATCTCCTACTCGGTTTCAAACTTCAGCTTTAGCACCCTGTGTCCCAGAGCTATGCTGAACACGCTTGTAGGGAACCTGCCTCCTGCAAGAAACAAACCACGGCCCTATTAGCTGAGTACCCTACAGAATTATTTTTTCAATTCCTAACAAATTTTGCCCAAATTTGGGGGAGCTCTAAGTGACGTCTGTCTTTGCGATCTCGTTGAAGGTAACTGTTCGCTGTGTTTAAATTTAATCATATGCGTGGCTTTGCAGGGTCTGTGGACTCCCCTGTAATTTCTATTGCCAGTTTAAGAAAACTGTTAATTCTCCAAGAGGCCTAAGCCAAACCCTTATATTGCCTTTCCAATATCAGCTACTTTTGGTATCTGTTTTAGTGTTGCGGATTTTTATTTTGTTATCTAAAATAAGAACTTACATGATATATAGTTAATCATTTATTATCCATATCTCCCAACCTCCCAACCTAAAGTTAAACGAGAAGATTTTATTTAAATGAATAATAGAACCATCAAGAAAACACTTGGGCCCACACATTCTGGCAAGGAGGCCCAGGCAGATGTGAAAACAAGGGGTTACAAAGAGCATAGTGTTTCCACAACTGCTGTATTTTTGCCCCAGAAGCTCCAGCGTGTGGGCTAGAACAAAACACTGAACAAAACTGTACACCTGGAAACGCAATGAATATAGAGCTCCTCAAAGCTCTGTTTGCAGAAGCCATGTAGGTACCTAGGTACTACTCAAGTTCTCAGAATGGGGCTCGTACTGAATTTAAGCACCCCACCAGCTTTCTGTGGGCCATCTGCCACAGGGATGAATCTCACCTTAAGTGCTGGCAGCTCTAACCATACACCCAAAATCTCCTAGAAGGATGTTCTGTATTGTGCTTAGACCTGTCAACATCTAGAAATCCAACCTGAAGTCCCCTGATAATAATGAACTGCACAATTGTGCATGTAGTACAACTCATCAGAGAGAGAAAAAAAAAATCAATGAGAAACTCTGGAGAGTCTATCATTCCTTCAAAAATAATATTCTCATTGATTACTGTGGTGCTACTTCCACACTCCTGGCCTGAAAACATCATTCACCTGTTGGACCACCAGGCTGCACAAACAGCTGGCAGTGCCTTCCACATCATCTCCAGCTGTGCTATGAAGGCTCCTGCTTCGTTTCCCATTTAGAGGAAAAACGGCCAAGAATTATTGATTGCAACTGCACTGCTACAGATTTCTTTTTAACCCAGAGGTGTAAAATTCAATAGCTGCAGGAAGGATTTCTAGGAAGCTCTAGTTTCTGCGCTATTTAAAATGCAGGCAGGTTTCACAGCAACTAAAGAATTTTCCCCAGTTGAATGTGTTTGCTGGATCACTAACCAGAGACTGTCACCCACGATGACCCAGAGAAAGAACTCGTGAGCAATAAAACCTGCAACATTTAACTTTGATTATTAAGCCAGGACAACGGTAGGAGTGGGTGAGGAGTACCGTGACACTGCCACCTCGCACTGGCCTCACCTTTCACAAGGAGAAGTGTTGCAAGGATGAGTGCTGTGAAGGGGCTGAGCACAGGAGGGTTTTTCAGGCAGGGGAAACTTCCCGTGGTGGCAGACAGCCACCGTTGCCGGTGGCACTGGGAGAAACAGCAAATCCCAGGTAAACTACCCGAATGGCGGTTGCGGGGGCACGTGGCGGAGATTTTGCCAGGGCACCTAGAGAAGCTAGTTGTCTATTCTTCTTTTTGTGTCACTTCTTGTATCATTTCCTTCTAACACATAAACAGTAACTAATTGTGCTTCTCACCCACACAAAACCTGGAGCTTCTGTTTTCTCCTGTTTTTTTTTTTTTTAATTTTATTTCCTCTCTTACCTCAAACTGACACATTTCAGTTCAGCATCTGGCTTTTGACAGTCCCTAGGAGCTAAACGCACATAATTTGGAAGCATTTTGTAGGACAGAGCCAAAAAATATTCTGTTGCACACATGTGCTATTTAGACTTGCGTCTGGAAGCAACACCACGTCGACCAAATTTCATGCGACGGTCCAGAGAACAGAATTCAGCGAGCGACAGCTATCTTATTGAAACTCGCAAACAACAACTACAGCGTTGCACACGAGAAGGCAGGGAAGCTCACGATCTGATTTTGCAGCAATTTGTCACACTTGTTCTGTACCCAGCTGTTAATTATGTTCCTTTCAGTGCAACAATCACGGCTAATGGTTACAGAGCAGACAAGAACACCAAATGAGCACAGCCCTCCACGTATAGAGACGCGGAAACAATGCAGAAAACCCTAAACCACAACCACCTCCTCTTAATCAAGCTTTTTGATCAAAGACAGAGTGTTTCTCCAAATTAAACTTCCCCCCTGGAGTCCTACATTTCCAAAGGAAGATGTGTTATGGTTCACTGCACGAAGGTTTCTCATTGCAGGTTCCAGGCGTGGAAAGAAGTTTCCTCATTCCAAAACTGCCAGTGATTAATGTAACTGCAGAATATCCTAGTTAAAATACGAGTGGTAATATTCTATTAAAAAGGTTTTAATGTGCAAGGGAACAGAAGGCTGTACTTTAATCCTGCTAAATGGTAGTGTTTCAGAATTTTTGCAGATGCGCATTATCAGAAATGCCACATTGCAGCCGTGCATTTGCAGGCTCTATGAAGAGCACAGTCAACACTGCTCAGTTGGTAGAGCCAAGTGTCTACTCAGAGCTCTAAACACAAATTATACCTGTAACCAATTCTGGGAACAAAACAAAACTCATTATTTACAGCTGTAAAAGACTGCATGAAAATCAGACTCTAACGTTTGAAATGTGAGAGTTAAGGATTTCATCACGAAACAGAAAGTATCACAGTTATTCGGCTGTAGAGCCAAATTCCACTATCGGACCTGCACCCAGCAGATGGCATCCTGCCATATTTTCTTTATATTTTTTCCTGTATCTATTAGCTAAACTGCACTTTAAGGATACATAAGCATATACTGCACCTACACAAATTATTAATACAAGAGGCAGCTGCTTGCTCAAATAAGAATTTGTTTTGTCTGGCAAGGTATTTCTTATACCCGTATTCACAAGCTGCATATTGTTGCACACAGGCTTTTTTTTGATTATTTATGCTTGAAAGTTCAGATTCTGTAAGCAAAAAAATTCTATATTTCTGCTTGTAATTGAAAATTACAGAATAGTCCAGTTGACGCAAAATCACAGTTTTTCCAGGTCAGACTGGCAGGGACTGCTAGATTTGCTTGTATCTGTAGCAAACGGAGCATAGTCTATATCCAGTGGTCATTTGGGAACTTATACAAGTTCTCTGCTACTGCAGGGACTCGGGATGTTGGCAACGACCTGGACCTCTCCCACAATACACCTCTAGCTGCCTTCTCGGCTTTTACTAATTGGTCTTAAACTTTCTTGTAAGAATTTGCAAAGCAAGTTTTGCTTCCGGAACATGGGGAATAAGTGTTCGGTTGACCTTCTGGATGTAATATGTATAACATCTGAGTGCAGGTGTCTAATTTTAGTGTCTCAAGTGGTCCTTTTCAGTCTTATGTTCCTATTAAAACAACCGAGGTCAGACCTTTCTGAGTCCCTCTGACCTTGTATACAGTGTGATGCAACTTGCCAACTACAGGGGTCCAGTAAAAGCAGGAACTGCACATTAATACTGCCTTAATCCTGAATGCCAAGTGGAGCCTACAATTCCATTTATACTACTCATTTACAGCACATTATATTGTACTTGAGCAAATAAAGTTTTTCCTCCCCTGGGGATCCATTCAGTAGCAATTAACTAGCACACATGGGGGAACTAACTAGACACAGAGAGACGTATACATACATTTCACAATTTCCTCTATAAAGGCAAATCTAAAATTGAATTAATTGAGTAGCGCTGGAAGAAGTCTATATTGACTAGCAAGGAAATCAAGGTGAAAAACAGCACAATATTGAGGGCATTTGTGCTCGTCAGCCACACAGCAGATACTCTGCAGGAGAACGCTGATGAACGGAGGCACTAAGCCAGTAAGATACGTTGTGGTCATTCATTGGCATTGCTAGCCTGTTAAACAACACGCAGTCCACTGTGATGTATGGCTGTCTTTTGGGTGTAAAAGACTCTATTCCAAGTGGAGACCAAACCTGCGATGCCTTTCACCTTTGACTGATTTTTCTGATTTTGCTCTTTCAGAGGTGATGTCTTGGAGAACTTATCCAAGCAAAAGCTGGATTCATGAAAGCGCTGGCAAATGTACTAAGAACACACATACAACTACCCAACTTATTGACTGCACGTTAATGCTGCAAGATTTTTCATGGGGCCTGAGTGCCAAATCATATCACGTTACATGATAATGAAAAACAATTCGGGGAGTAAGAAGGTAAAGATAAAAAGCTAAGGAAGGGAATAAGGTGAATCACTGTTCAGGCTGGATATCGCCTGTTCACGGATCGGCAACGGGCAAGTTAAAAGAGAGTATCACAAGCAATTTTAGGCTGCAATGGAAAAAATGGAAGAGGGAAGAGCTCCTCACTTGTCCTGTGACTGGATCTGTCGGGGATTGACACATATGTCATTTCAGTCTGAGAACAGAGGTGACTAAGTTTCCTGTGTATTCTCCACGTTAAACTTGGTAACACAAAAAGTATTTATGAAAATATAGGCCAGGATATCCAAAAGGAGCAAGAAAGGCATGCATATTGTTTCCTCTCTAGTCTAACTTACACTTTGCTCAAGCTGAAAATCCCAACCATAACGGCTAAATTATGATGTGACCAAACGCAAGCTAGAGGGTAATCCAACTTCATAGCTTCTGGGCAGTTCTCATCTCATAATGTCTGCTCCAAAATGACAAGCCCTGATGAATGCCACGATGTAGCACCTCTGCATTTTAAAAGGACAACAGTTCCTACTTTGATGTCAATGTAACTGCAAGGAAAAAGACCAGAATAAAGAAGCAAATTCTAAGCAATCCACTTTGTAAACCACTTGCCAATTACCCAACATGTGCCCTTACATCATCTGGTCCCCCATGGGTTTCTGGTCCCCCTGAGTATTAGGCAGAGATTTGAGTGAAGGACAAGTAGTGGCATGTTTAATTTTCACCAAATTTCTGCAAGAGGGTAATAACAAGGAGGACATAAACTGGCATCTGATGGAGAAGGAAAGAGAAAGGTGGGAAAGACAGACAGAGGTGGTCATATGTACAGATCCAGCTTAATTTGCTCTGCACTTACTCCATTCGCTTTGCTAAGAGCCTGGAAGTATATGCTGTAGCTTTTCAAGGGCGAAAGGGGAGCGTTCCAGTAGCCATTGTAGGTTTTGTTGTCACCCACTGTGAATGGTTGCGTGACAGGCAGGTTGATGGGCTTCAGCTCGGCTGCAAAGTAGTGGGGTGAGTCCAGACTGGAAGCATTCTTGTAGCTCACTGGCACGGAGAAGCACTCAATGATGTCTGCAGCTCTCCGTGCTTTCTGCGGCTTCTCTTCCTTGACAACTAGCTGATAGACACTAGGAGGGAGAAAAGAGAGAGGAACATAAGGTTAGAACCTCAAGAGCCTTAAACACCAAAAACTTTCCAACAGCAAAAGCAAAAGGCAAAGTGATAAAAAACACTTCTAGGGCATCACAGCAAATACCGTTCCTGGAGCACTGCAGTAGCAGTGACAACAACTCAGTGGTATTACGTAGGCAAGATGCTGATTGCTTGCTCTGCTGCTTTGCTTCAGTTAGTCAAGATGCATCTTTGTGAAAGTCCAAATAGATTTCAAAGATGCCACAATTTAGTAAAAGGAGGTACCAAATAAAATATCCAACCCATAATGACTTTTTAATTTACTGAATATTGGAAAGCAATTGCTTTCTTTTTCAGCCACCAAATTACGAACTGTTTGTTCAGGCCAAACAGCGATTGCAGTAGAAAAAGACATCAACAAGTGGCTACGGTGTTAGATCCCTTTCGAAACAGTTTCAGGGTGTAAGAACTAGTTTCAATAAACAAAAAAAGATCTCACAAGTTCTAGGAATGTAACCTTTTCTGGCACTTCCTTGCATTACTTTTTGGGTCATATCCTGGGATAAAGAGTTCTCATTAATATACTAATCCTTGATGGTAAATCTCCTCCTAACCTCCAACACTAGAAGTTTGATTTATACATGGAGTAGCTGCCTTTATAGCTCTTCCAATTCACTTTTGTTTCAGTAAACAAATCCTCACATTCTTTCCAGCTCTATGAAATGTTAATCATTTCACAACCCTGCTAAATTTTGGGCTTCTGTGATACCTAATAGCAATTCTTGATATTTCTAGCTTACTTTTTCAGGTTCAAGAAGGATGCGAGGCATCCACACGCACTTTGCTATGTTTCTCAGGCAGTTAACAAAGCATTTAAGTTCAGGGCTGCTACAGCTGAGGCAGATATACTGTCTGTGTAACACTACTTACTCATCTGACAAAGAAAGATGCCACTGCAGTCATTTCCCTTTTTGACAGGGTATTCACATACACGGCCCTCACCTGCCTGTGCGAGGCTGGTCTTTGGTTTAGTTAGACAGGGGAGATGGATTAAAAGACAGCAAACCGCCAGCAGCATATCATTCTCCCCGCCTGCATTGGCTCATTGTTGCAGAAAGACTGATTAGAAAAATTTCTAGCATTGCAATGGCTCATCAGTGCTTCTGGGGGAAGCAAAGCCGTGGCAGCTTAAATAAGCAGCAGTATAAAAAAATCCAAACCTTAGCTCATGTTTTTGGATTAACTATTATTTTACTTCTGTGGGTATCTGGTGTACTCACTGTTAACAAGGAAGTGGTCAGTGAATCATTTGGCAAACTATCAGCAAGGGAGACTCCCACTGCCGGACATGAAAGCAAATAATCTTTACAAATGTGATCAGTTTGTGAATTGCTTAGCACTGAAATTGTCCTTAGGCGGCATGCTACCAGCATTTGTTAATGCAGCAAGATGCACTCACCAGATGTAGGGACTGTGGACTTCAATGACGTCCCGTTAACATATTTGGAAACCTTCCTCAGCCCTTCAGCTGACTCGCAGTTTTAATAAAATATTTTAAACCTTCTCTGATATTTATTTTTTTGATTTCTATAAAGATTAACAAGTTTCCGTTTTCAGTATTATACTATTGAGCTATAAGTAAAATCCCATCTAACACGAACACTCCTCCCAGCCTAGCAAGAGAAACTTACAACTTGCTTCTCTGGCCACTGTTTACTGAGACCATCCACAGATTCTTATTCCGATCCTTCACTCTGGTAATAATACTAAACATTGCTCAAAATAGAATACGGATTTTATTTATTTTGTTAAAACCAAAACTAACATGCATTTCGGTTTGGAGTTTCCTGTCCTACAAATTTATCAAACGAGGAAAAGAATATCTGCAACCACAAAACTTCTTGCGGGTCAGCATTCATCTGCAAATCACAAGGTTTTAAGTGAGAAGCTGGTTTTTGGTGTGCTTGTGCAGGAAGGGCATTTGTGAGAACACTTGGCAGAACATAAAGGTGATACGTGATCCTCTTACCACCAAATGGCAGGCTAGACCTACCTGTGGACAAAAAAAATGAAAGCCACCTTCTGTATTTGAGTATACCAACATTCAGTTTTGTTACTGCAGATTGAACTGATCCCTCATTTTCACCACAGTGCTCTATAAGAAATATATTACTACCCCTTTTAGACAGCTTGGATGATGGAGTTTCCTTGATAGTATCTCAGAACTGGAGGCACTTCAGATCCTCCAGGTAGTTCCTCAAATGTCTCGAGATTTGCATCCTATATCTACTTGCACAAATTCATTCTCTACTGCAGGTTTGCTCACCTAAATTACACAGCTCACCACTCACAGGAAGCCTTCTTCAGGAGAGGGGACAAAGTTCATGGACCCTTTTTTCCTAGATAAAGGCTCAAGGACATGGAATCAGTGCCTGCTCTTTCCAAACCTGCCAATGGCCTGGTCATGTTCCTCTCCTATTTTAGTCTGATTAAAATGCCCACTACAGCATAAATAGTATACTCTATGCCCTAAAAAACTAATCAAAATTTACAATGAATTCCAAAGAAAGTGCAAGTTCTGAACAGCAACAACCCAGCAACCACTTGGACAAGCAACGGCAGCCTTTCCAACCAACGTGCAAGACTTGTCGCTAACATTTCTAATGGCATCGGCCACATACCTTCTAACCAAAAAAATGCGTGGTTTCAGTTTTATACCCTCACAAATGCCTCCTTTTGTTGACAGTAGAAAATATTTCCTCTTTTGTATACATATAACTCCTTCTAGCCTACAGAGAAGTCAAGGGTTCCTGCTTCCCATCGCCTTGTCCCCATAGGACGACCTCATTTCTTCAGTATCGCGCTTGTAAGCAATAACCTATATACATAAATTGCCAGATAAATGAACTCTTTCCAGATTCAGAAAAGTTATTTATCTTTGAAGACATTCTCAGAGTCTTCCTGGACTGTTTTGATCACCTGCTCCTCCCATATATGCACCCTTTTTTACCATGAGCAAGAGCTTTGATACATATGCAATCACAGTTGTAATAGCAGATACTCTTTCATTTGTATTCTTTCACATTTCAGCTTTCCTACTTAGCTTTTAACTCATACTCTTCTTTTCATGGGGATAACTCACTGTTTTAACGTCAGGAAATTTTACTCGTTACTTTTGATGTCTATTCTTTTGGAATAACTTGAGGTGCTTCTGGAAGCACAATGGCACGTTCATGAGCATTCAGCTGAAATGTAATAGATGCTCCATTTGTGTTCAAGTTAAAACTCCCTTAATCTCCTGTTCAAATACTATCTCTTTTTCCTGTGAAACAAACACCTGAGCTAGCACTGCTGTCATTGTTCCCTTTTTCTAAAGAACGTGCTCTTTGCTGAAACGCAGAATGAGTGGCTGCTCGCCTCCCTTTGCCTTTTTTCCTTTATGCCTGGTACTGCCCTAGCTCACAGCGACGGCTCCAGCACATGCATCTCTGCTTTACCTGCTTGACTCAGTGACCTTCACTCCTCACCTCACTTCTTTCGTAGAGTCTCAGTTATTTGGTAGTGATCAAGCGGCCACTCAAAGGTAGCAGTCAAGGGGCTAAGAGAGTGGCTGCTCCTGAAGACTATTCTAGATTGCAGCTTATCACTCGGGAAACTGTATAACTGTATTCTTGCCAAATGATTGTTCTGCATCCTGCCCTCTGATAGGTTGATCCAGATGCCAGTTTGCCTCATCCCCTCAGAAGTGCAGCATTTGCAGTTCACCCCTTGCTAGTACCAAACTCTCACAGTATCACTTTCCTTTTTTTTTTTTTTTCCTGCACTATATTTATTTTTTAGGTTATATTTTTTCCTCATGTTTTCTTTTTACCGGGGAGCAGGATGCTCTTAAACTGCCGTTAGGTCATTTTCAGGTATCAGCTTCTCCACTTTAAACTATTAAGTACTGCTAGGCATGGCAAGTGCTTCCACATCTGCTATTGCCAGCATTAAGACTCTCATAAATGTGTGCCTCTTTCTTGAGATAGATAGAAAGGCAATGGTCCTACAGCAAAACGAAATTCTCGTGGGATTTTTGGGCAGCAAGCATACAATTACCCACCGTGAAGTCTGGCCAGAATATCTGGATTACTACAACGGTTCTCAAGAGTAAACGCAATTCAGCTTTGTCAGAAGAAAACTTTTCTTGATGCATCACGACCCCTAAAGCCTGTGGCTGGGCACTAACTCAAAATCAACCCAGTGAATGTGATCAGGCCGATTAGCCTGAGAAAGCCCTTCAGCGGCAGACACATTTCCGCTGAACATTTCAGTGTTGAGCAGGGTCAACCATTCAAAACTTGTTACAACTCACAATTTCATAGTACAAAGCAGTGTGAAGTGGAGTATGTTTCCAAAAAGAAGTGCTAGAGGAAAGGAAAAAAGGGGGGCAGGAGGAAATATAGAGGTGATGTTCCAAGTATTTTATTATCTTTCATTCTGGCTACCAGGTAGGCAGTAGCAAAAAAGTCCCGGGGATCTCCTCCTCCCAGCTTCAAAGCTACTGCTTCCAGCCAACACTGCTTGCATAGCAGGAATCAATACATCAGCTGAAATCGCCCAGCTGGATAAAAGAAAGTTTCAATGTCATGCATTGAACTTATATTACGAGAGACAACAAAAGCTGCACGTTAAAGCTACTGATACTGTACAGCAACTTCAGTACCAATAAACCGAAAGAAGACACAGCAGACTTACAGCTTCAGTTTCAATTTTAATAGGCAGCCTCATTTACAACCACTGCAATCAAATGCACCCGCGGGCATGCTGCAAGGGGAGCAGAAGCAGGGGGCCTGCCTCCCTAGCGCCGAACTGCTCCGAGCCACCTCCCCGCAAACAAGCGGCACCGCATTGCTCACAGGAGCGATGAGGAAGGCCGGCTTGCCCAAGATCGCTAAGCTGCACTCTCCAGACAGAGCTCTCTAGGGATTCGCACGGGGGGCTCCTGATGAAACGC